GTGCTTCATACTTGCTTGTTCCCTTCCCCCTCCCCACACCAGCCTTCCATCCAGACAAAATGGCAGAGTTGAGAGTACTTTACAACTCCTTAACTGGAACTATATTGGGGGGGAAGGGCAGACAGAGCAAAGGTCATGCATGTACCAGCCAGGGGGTTTACAGGGGTCTTCAGAGGACATGAGCGGAGAGAAGGGAGTGATGGGAAGCTTGACTGAAATTTTCCAGCAATAGTGTGTGGTACCTCAGAGATGTTTCATTTGCAGGGAAAATATTTTTAATGCATTAAGTAAAATCATGGTAGTAGAAAGGAAAACAATAGTGTTGAAACAGTTTTTTAAACAGCTCCAAAAACCAAATTCATAGAGCCCAGATTAACAATCCTGGTACTCCATATTGCTGGGATGCCTAGTACAAAAAGAAGGAAGAGGGCAGCGCACCTACCAGAGTCAGCACAAGGGCTGACTGGGTTGTGTCTGAAGAAAAGCCTTCTCTTGCCATGGTGATCCCAACTGTCTTCCTCCATGCTGGCCAGAGGCCTCAGGGCCATCGGCAGCACCATGTCGGTGGCCATGAGTCCAGCCCACTCCAGGCTGTGCTCCTGGCCCCTGTATTTCCTCTACTGTGCATGCTACAAGAACCTCTTCACCCTGGAGGTTGATGCACCGCTGGACTCCTCAAGCTGGAAGGACTCTGTGCCCTAGTTGCCTCTTCCTCTGATTGGCTGGCTGCTCCCAGAAGCTCCATTTGAAGGGAGAAGCCCATGCCAGTGATGTCCCGACAATGGAAATCAAGGACATCCTGAGGACCCAGCTTCCCCTCCATGTCTCCAACAATGCGTGACATTCTTCCGTCTACAAAGACTCTTCTCACAGTTCTGACCTGCATGCAGGCATACATCAGCACTCTCTCCACCAGTTAGTCACAAGCAAAAAAACAAAAACAAAACATTGTGGTTTTTAGTTCTGCTCCATCACTAAGTTAACTAGCGATCAGGGTCCCCTGAGGATTGCCCACTCTGCCACCAATCAATGTCTTGTTTGACAAGATAGGTGTAGGTGATGGGGTTGGGATCTGGGCTCCAGAAAGGAAAAACCCTGGACTTTCCCACATGGCCAAATCTCTGGTGTTCACCTAAGGCTGTAATCCCATCAACTGGCCTTTCGTTGTGGCTACACCCAATCTCTCCTCCACTGTCTTAGCTCCCTATGGCCCCTGGCCATTTCCCACCCTTAATCCTAGCTAGGCTCCATTCTCGCTTGGCCCTGTGGTCCAGGTCCCTGGAATCCTATTACTTCATAGACTACTTGACCACTCCTAGATCCCTCCCACAGTCTTTCTGTATATAAGGTCCATCTTGTCTCTATTGAGATGCTTAGATTCCTAAAATCTAGCCACTGCTTAGATTCTTATAATCTAGCCACTGCTTACCCATGTTTAGACTCCTTCAGAGTCTGTCCAATATGACAACGTTCTAATAAACCTTGTTTTTGGCTGCAAGTAGGCTTGGGTCGAATTCTTTTGGGCATGACCCGCGTGTCATAATTTTGGGATTCCAGGACCCCTAATCTCTAGACCGCATCATAGGGAGTGTCCATATGTCTTCAGACTAGGATGCACATCATGAGGTATCCAGGATGCTGATGATGAGGTAGGGAGTTGGTATAACTAGTCCCCTGGGTACCAAATATCTTCATAAACCAGTTCAAACTAAGGATTCCTATCAGACCACCCCCAACCATAGCACACCACTCTCAGCCTTGGGCTATCTAGACAGAAGAATTTGTCTCCACCCAGGCCTGAGCAGATGAAATCAATTCAGGCTTGGGGTGGGGTTTGACCAGGATAAGATTCATTGCAATCTCCTTATCAGTAATGTGCTTCTGAGGAACTTTGACTGAAGGAGGCTGGGGCTGGGTGAGGGTTAGAGGAAGCTCTGAGTCTCCAAGATAATGATTCATTTTTCAAAGTACATACTAGGTGCTTCCTAAATATGGATGGATTGGTTAATACTGTGACCCCTCCCTCCTGGGGATTCATGGTTGGGATCAAGAAGTTCTTTTCTGCAGGTGCTGAGAACCCAGATGGCTGGGGGAGGAGCTGGGCTGGTCCTGACTGGAGGAGTCTTTGGGCCAGAGCTTCTGAGGCTCAGAAAGCAGAAGGCCAGGGAGGGGAGCTGAGCCACAGCAGCCCAAGAAGGCCAAGGCAGAATCCCAGCAGCTCTGGAGTGATGGTGAGTCTGCTTATTGTCCTATTTGCCAGCTCTGTGCCTCTCACAGCTGGTGCCTAATGCTTGTGTGTGTGGCACTTCCAGAGCTACCTTACAAGGCTGAGGCCAGGGGGAAAGAGCAAAAACCTTCTCCAGGGAGGAGTGGAAGCCTAGACAGAGGATGCAGGGGCAATGGAAGGGTTCCCTTAGGACAATGCTTCAGGAACCTGAACTCTTGGTGGGACCCTGAGCCTTACTGTAATCATCTGTAAAATGGGAGTGAGGCCCCTGGTACCCAATTCCCAGGGCTGGTTTGAGGAACCTAGGATATGGGGTCTGGGAAAATGGTAAAACAAAGAAGCAAACCAGCACTTATTAAGCACCTACAGGATGCCAGGCACTTTCCAAAGATTATCTCTCTGGAGCCACAACAACCCTGGGAGGCCCATTTGATAACTGAGGAAACTGAGTCATACAGAGACAAACGACTGGCCCAGGACCACAGAGCTAGGAAGTGTCTCAGGCAGGTTTGGAACTCTGGACTTCCTGACTCCACGCTCAGCCTCTGCGCCTCTATGGACTTACAGAAAGCCCCACAAACGTGTCAGCTGCTCATGTGATGATTTCCTAGCAACAGAAGGTGAGTGGCAGATGAAAGGCTCTTCCAATGCAGGGCTCTCAATCTGGGGTCTGCCATCCTCCCCCATTCACATTATGCCCCTTCCTCCAGGGTGGTTAATTGTCAGAGTCTCCACGAACTTTCATGAGTAGGGTAGAAATTACATCTTCACTTTCACTACACTCACTACCTTTCTGGGATCCTTCCCTTCTCATCATTACCTTTATCTGCTCTTTCCTGCCCAGGGCCCTGCCCTCAGCTGATACTTAGTCCTTGCGGATAGAATTTCCAAAAGAACTTTGTGCAAAGTGAAGGCAGGGAATCCATTGTCCTCTCCCTCCCCCAGCCCCAGAGTCTATGGATAAATTTCAGAGACTCTGTGAACTTGGATGGATGGAGGGGTGTGTATGACATTTAGACAGAGATTGGGCTCTCTGCCTTAATTCACTTTCATAGCTTTCTAGTTAACCCCTGGCCTTGACGTGGGACAACATCCAGTCCACTGGAAACACAACAGCAGGTTATCACAGAGATAGTGTGACTAAACTTCCCAGGAGTCCACTGAGTGTGTACCTCTGCCAATCACCAATCAGTGCTGCTGAGACAGGAGAGAAACGCTGCTGTTTATTTTATTAGGCTCAGAGCACAGGCTGCACTGAACACTTCCAGTCAGTCAGGGAGCCCTGAGCATGGTTTTCAGCAACCTTACATGGAATAGGCATTCCTAAGCAGGGTGGGCACAAGGCAATCTTGTAGAGAGTGAAGGGGAAGGCAAGGATTTCCACACCAGGAAGCAGACAGAAGGAGGGAAGATGAGGATGTCTGCATCACAGAAGGTCAGGGGACTAGCTGGTCAAAACGGGAGCCCTAGTTTTCTGTCTCCAGCTGGATTTTTGCAAACTTCCCCAGGACGTGTGACCCACACGCTTCAAGAATAGTCTCAGAAGTTTAAGATAGAGTCTGAGGGAGAGTTTTTCTTAGCACAGTGAAGTCAAGAAGCCTGACCCAGAAATGTTCTTGCCACAACAGTATCTATGGATAGGCAGGCATTGGGAGGGGAAGTTGAAGAAAGGGCTTGAGGTTTTCTTGGGAGTTTCCTCCTCCTGGGTCATGTGCTCTGAGATACCTGTAGAGTCAATGACTGTCTTTGCTACCTCCTTTCAGTGCCACAGCTTGGTTTTCTCCAGTCCAGACCCTCTCACTCTCTCTTCCTCATTCTCTGTCTCTGTGTCTCTCTCAGCTTCATTTCCTTCATTTCTGTGAGTGACCCAATGACTTTGATTGATTCAAGGAGATGGTACAGGCCCTATGTACTCTCAGTTACACTGAAGTGGGTAGAGTAGGCAGGAGAGGTCCAGCCCTACATGCAGACCAAGAGAGTCATGTGGAATAGGACAGAGAGAGCTGGCTCTGGAGCCAGGGAAATTTGGGGTCAAGTCCATCTTCTCACCCGTTCTGGCTATGGGATCTTGGGCAAGGTACTTTATCTCTCAGTGGTGTAGACCCCAAGATGCAGAGAGGTTGCTTCCCTGCTCTGGGAGATGAATTCCTTGGCAGGAGATTCCTGCTGGAAGTGGCCCTGCAGAGCCTGGTCCTGTGGTTGCACATGTGATTGCACACAAGGTCCCAATCTTATTAGACCCTTTTTCTAAACACCACACATTGCTGTCTTCCTGCATGATTCCTCCTCCCCGTCTCTGATCACCTTGCCCAGGAATCAGTCTCCCTCCACCCTCTTTAGGTGATTGTTCCCCTCCTTTGTCCCCTGCCCAAAATCACCCCATAGTGCAAGGCCATTTAGGACAGGGCTCACTGCCATGTGCCTCCTCTCTCAGGGCACCATTTTCCATTTCCTTTCCTCATGCTCAGGATACCACTTTCCTTTCTCCCACTTCAGGAAAATGGGGACACTTATACTTTTATTTCTCTTTCAGACTTGCACTTAAGGATCATGGAGTCCAAAGGGCCAAGAGAAGATTCATCCCTGGAGGGGATGGTCATAGAAGAAGTGGGAATGGAGGATCTTTGCTACTCTAATTTGGGAGATGCCAGAGAACATGAGAGCCAGAGTCAGATGCAGGACGAAAACCAGCAGAGATATTTGAGGGAAATGACTAATCTTCAAATGATCCCTACTGCAAAAAAGCCTCTGAAATGCACTGAATGTGGGAAAGACTTTAGTTACCCCTCACATCTCACTATACACCAGAGAGTTCACACTGGAGAGAAACCTTTCCCATGCAATGACTGTGGGAAATCCTTCAATCACAAATCAAGCCTCAGAGCACACCTGAGGATTCATACTGGAGAGAAACCCTTTGAATGTAAGGAATATGGAAAAGCCTTCAGCCAGAGGTCACATTTGACCTTACATCAAAGCATTCATACTGGAGAGATGCCATTTCAATGTGATATATGTGAGAAAGTCTTCTGTAAGTCCACATGCCTTATTTATCATCAAATGATTCATACTGGAGGTATACCTTACATATGTAATGAATGTGGGAAAGCATTCATTTACAGTTCAGATCTTCTCAAACACCAGAGGATTCACACTGGAGAGAAACCTTATATATGTAATGAATGTGGAAGAGCCTTTAATCAGAGCTCAAGCCTTGTAAAACACCAGAGGATTCACAGTGGAGAGAAGCCTTAGACATGTCATGAAGGTAGACAAGCCTTCAGACAAAGCTCAAAGATGCCTGCACATCAGAGTGTTCACAGTGACAAATTTTCTGAAGGTAATTAATGTGGACAAGCCTTCAATCACAACTCAGCCCTTACTGCTCATTAGAGGTTTCATAACAGCAAAACAGAATGCATAAAGATAAATATGGGGAAGACTTCACTCAGAGCTCAAACATTGGTCTCCACCAAAGTCAATGGAAAGAATGATTACAAAACAATTAGAAGAGAAAGGTGCCAAATTTAAAAAAAAAAACAATATGGCCCCCAAAGGAGGTGAAGGAAGAGGCCCATCCTTGGCAGAGGAGGAGGCCCAAATGTGGGCAAGGTTGCTTATGTTTTCAGATTCTTTCCTATGTATTGATTGGTCTTGACTTTTCTCTTCTTCTTTTTTGTTTTTTTAATATTCAGTGCTTTATGGCATAGCCCTTGGGAGGTAGCAGGGATACAAAGGAAACTTAGACAGTTTTCTAAATGTTTTCCATGACTAGACATGTTTATAATGGGTTTTGTTTTTCTTGCCTTCTTAATGGATTTAGGGGAAAGAGAGAGAGGGGGAAGGAGAGAATTTGGAACTGAAAATAAAATATAACTGACTTCAGAGTCAAAAGCAAAACAAAAAAATAAAGATGTGGTAAACATGAGAACCTTCTGTAACAACTCAAACTTTGCTCAATATCAGATGGTTTATACTAGAGTGAAGACACAGAAAAATAAAAAAAAAGTCAGAAATTCCTTATACTAACTTTACTAAACACCAAAGAAATTGTGTTGAGGAAAAAAAGCAAAACCTAGCTTTATCTTTGCAGCCTACCTATGTTTCTTGGCATTTAAAAAAATGTTTCCTGTCAGGAACATAGTGAATCACATTTCTATGTTCTTAGACCCTTGCTGTAATTCTTTGGATTTAATGAAAGGATACAGACAATTTATTCAGTTTATTAAATAATAAATTTGATTTGTCTTCTGACATTTTAAAAATTATTGTCCCTTCCTCCTGTATTGAATGGAGTCTCTTAATCTTTACATTTCAATTATTCAACAAATTTATAAAAGAAATTCTTGTTCCTTATGCCTTCTTATTAATAAATATCTCATGGGGGGGCAGAGCCAAGATGTCGGAGGGAAAGCAGTGACTTGTTTGAGCTCTCCCCCAAACCCCTCCAAATACCTGTAAAAAATAGCTCTAAACAAATTCTAAAGCAGCAGAACCCAAAAAAAGACAGAGTGAAACAAATCTCCAGCAAAAGACAGTCTGGATGGTTGATCAGAAAGGTACATCGTGCTGGGCTGGGAGAGGAGTGCAGTTCAGAGTGGGCAGGCACATCGCAACAACCCTGGAGCAGGCCTCAGAGGGCTGAATCACCAGCGGCTGTGGCGATTTCCAGACTTCTCAACCCACCAACCCCAAAGACAACTTAGAAGGTCAGTGGGAAAAGTCTGTTACTGCGGTGAGAGAGGAGCTAGGTCTCAGCTGCAAGTCTCGAGCGCAGCCCAGGGTCACGGCTGTTTCCTGAGCTTCAGGCCCACAGACTGAGGGGAAATCGAGTGGCTGATCAGAGGGGGATTGCAGGGATCTCTTTGTCAGTGCTGAGGCAGGAATCTCTTGCTTTGCCCATGCTTGGATTTGGGTTACAGTTCTGAGGGGTGGTCCTGGGACGAGGAGGAGTGCTGGCATGGTGAAGCTTGTTGTGGCTGTGGAGATGAAACACCTTGCCCCTTATCATAGCACCTTGGAAGAACTGAAAATTTTCAGGTCCCTAGAAGTATCTCTGAAAACAGCTGTACAAACCCCCGAAGCTTGGGACAGTACATTCTCCACATTGGAAACAGACTTTTACCTTAACAAAGAATTTAAAACTCAAGTAATTGGCTGAGATCATGAAAAAACTGTGCAAAAAAAGTCAGACCATAGAATCTTGGTGACAAAGAAGATCAAGACATACACTCAGAAGAAGACAGCAAAGTGAAAGCTCCTACATCCAAAGCCTCCAAGAAAAATATGAATCAGTCCCAGGCCTTGGAAGAGCTCAAAAGGAATTTTGAGAAGCAAGTAAGAGAAGTAGAGGAAAAACTTAGAGTGATGCAAGAAAATCATGAAAAACAAGTCAACAGCTTGCTAAAGGAGACCCAAAAAAATACTGAAGAAAATAACACCTTAAAAAATAGCCTAACCCAAATGGCAAAAGAGGTCCAAAAAGCCAATGAGGACAAGAATTCCCTAAAATGCAAAATTAGCCAAATGGAAAAGGAAGTCCAAAAGATTACTGAAGAAAATACTTCCTTAAATATACAATAGAGCAATTGGAAGCTAGTGACTTTATGAGAAATTAAGACATTGTAAAACAAATCCAAAAGAATGAAAAATTAGAAAACAATGTGAAATATCTCATTGGAAAAACAACTGACCTGGAAAATAGATCCAGGAGAGAGAATTTAAAAATTATTGGACTATCTGAAAGCCATGATCAAAAAAAAGAGCCAAGACATCATCTTTCAAGAAATGATCAAGGAAAACTGCCCTGATATTTTAGAACCAGAGGGCAAAATAGAAATGGAAAGAATCCACTCACCACCTCCTGGAAGAGATCCCCAAAGGAAAACTTCTAGGAATATTGCAGCCAAATTCCAGAGTTCCCAGGTCGAGGAGAAAATATTACAAGCAGCCAGAAAGAAACAATTCAAGTATTGTGGAAACACAATCAGGATAACACAAGATTTAGCAGCTTCTACATTAAGGGAACACAGGGCATGGAATATAATATTCCAGAGGGCAAAGGAGATAGGATTACAACCAAGAATCACCTACCTAGCAAAACTAAGTATAATCCTTCAGGTGGAAAAATGGTCATTCAGTGAAATAGAGGACTCTTAAACATTCTTGATGAATAGATCAGAACTGAATAGAAAATTCGACTTTTAAATACAAGACTCAAGTGGAACATGAAGACAGTCATCAGAGTCCAGTGGCAAAACAAAATCAAGACCACTGGAGATAGCTCAGGATGCAGTGGATAACCTTGGTGTCTTTGATATCTAACCAAGCTCTAAGAGCCCTGCAGTGCCTGCTTCAGCTGCCTTCATGGATGTTAGAACAAATTGTTTTTGTCCACCTATTCCACTGGGGGAAACCTTCACATGCTTGGGGTAGACAGTGCCCCTTCCCAACTCACTGACATGTTTGAGACCCCTAAGTTACCCTCAACCCTGTTTAGCTGGTCTGCCCACATGGTTTACTGGGGTGTGGCCACTGTTCATATCACAGCTTCTTAGAGCCAAAGGTGAGAGCTGGATGCATCAGATGTGTCCAAAGGAAGAAAGCATCCCTAAAAAGAGCTCAGCAGCCCTCACACCAGAGGTATTAGTCTTCCCTGAACATCCTACACCCCTCATATTGCTATAGGCAGCATTTCTAGCATGATGTAAAATAATAGTGTTAATAAAGAACATTTAAGAACCTTGTTCTTTTTGGAATGATATTTACCATTACATAAGATGCTGGCTGTGGGTTTTCGATAAATATTATTTACCATGTTAAGAAATGCTCATTTTATGCTTATGTTTTTAAATGATAATAGTTTTAAAAACCAGAAAAGGGTATTGAAGTTTATCCAAAGCTTTATCTATGTTGATTGATGTAATCATGTGAATTTTAGTTTTTGGTATTAATAAAATCTATATGTTTAGAGTTTTCTTTAAAAAAAAAAATATCTCATGCTTGCAAACATGGGCTCTGCAATGACTATACTATGCGTTAGAACTTCCCTTCTTTACAGGTCAGCAGGGCCAGACAATTAGAAGGGTTTCTGAGGCTCAGAGCTGCTTGATATGCCAGTGATCCTCCGGGAATGAACTCTGGCTGAATTTGGAGATGCCTGTAGCTGCCAGAAACCACAGACTCAGCCTTGACCCGCTCAAGGGCAGCCTTGAGCAAAGCTGCAGACCTGAGACCTGGCTTGGGACTTTCTAAACATCCTGCGCATCCCATTGTCTGTGCTTGAGCCTTGGACTTTCTGAGTCCTCGTGCTCATCTCAATACGCCAAGAAGTCAGTGTCCCTGTTCCTGGAATTGTTATAAAAGACCTTGTCAGCCTTCACTCAGTATCCTTGGTCATTGAGAGAGGCCACTGACCCAGTTTATTGGTTACTACTAGCCTAATAAATTGATCATGCCCTGCAGAGACCCAGCCAATAATTCAGAGCAGTCAATCTGTCAAACATTTATTAAGCATCTCTTATATGGTGGGCAGTCTGCTTAAGCACTGAGAATAGGAATACTAATAAAAACAAAGACAGTCTCTATCCTCAAGGACTCCCTAATGGTTGAAGACATCACACAAAAATGGAGAGAGAAGGATGGCATGAGGGGAGGAGGGGAGAAGCTGGTGCTGATCCCCTTCCTTAGAGGCCCTGGAGCCCATGGCCCTGCCCATAAGCAGAGAGCACTTGGTCTTGCAGTATAAGATTTCCCAATGGGTTTCCTGGGGAAGAAAGGCATGGTGGAGATCCCAGAGAAGTCCAAAGGCAGCAGAGGTAGGGGCATATGCCACGACCCAATTTCTATTTTCTTATTAGAGGTCTAAGGGAGGCTTTTAATCACCTGCTGAGCTAGAACTAAGGCTACCAACTCAAGGCTCCATCAGAGGCAACCGTCCTCCCTGACATGCTGGCTAGCCACGGATGGAGGGGACATCTCTGACTCCTGAGGGCTGGGGGGTGCGACCTCCCCAGAAAGCTTGTGTCAGAGATGGGGCTGCTTCCTCTTGCTGGCTCCTGCTTTTGTTTGGTCCTGGGCCTTGGGAGGTCTTGGGAGGTCAGAAGAGCCACCAAGGGCCAGGAGACAAGCCCAGGGAAGGCTCAGCCCTGCAAGGGAGGGAGTCACTCATCCATCCATCCATCTATCCATCCCTCCATCCATCAGCTGTGCCACACCCGGAAGCAACCTCAATGCTGAAAAGGATTGCAGCCCC